TGCTGAGCTTTTTGCCTGCACTTCTAGGAGGAAGGGGAGGGGAGATAGAGGGGAAGGGGATTGTGGTTTTTGCCTCGTGGGGAAGCGTAGCGGGCGGGCGAAAAGACGAACGTGTTGGAGGACTCGGGTGAGGGGTGAGGGTGGGGGGAGCCTCAGGGAATAGGACATCCTCATACTTGCGCAGCGGACTATGGGCAAAATTAGCTTCTGATAGGAATAGGGGGCTCGAAAAAGTAAAGAGGGCCATTGGGGTCGGATGGGGAGCGTTGGGTGGAGATAGTCGTTGATTTTTGTTTTTTGTTCTTTTGAGGAGGGGAAAGGGGGTTAGTGTTGGGGGTGGGGTGGGCGGGGCCAGCTCTTGCGGGGCGTTCACCCAAGTGAGCAGACCCCGTTTAACTTTTTTGCGAAACCCGGCCACCCAGCCACCCACCAGCAGATTGTGAGCCCCTTGCCCACGCGCCCCGCGCCCACCAGCCGCGCAAGGCGCTGCGGCGGCGCGCCGGCCAGGCCAGGCGGGCCAGACCGGGCCAAGCCACTACGAGGAGTTTTCTCAGTTCCTTCCTAGTGGGTCTTACTATCCGTGTGCAGGCCGGCGCGTTTCTTCCGGAGTTCCGTCTGGCAGTTGTGTTTCGGAAGCCGTGGGGAGGCAAAGAAGCTAAGGACTTGCAGCCGTAGAAGAGGGGGAGGTGGATATAGAGAGGGGATGGGTAGGGAAGAAGGAGGCGGTGGAAGGCGCCGGAAAGCTTACTGTGCAGCAGAAGTGAGCTAATTGTGAACTTCCGTATTCATTCCAGCGACTTTGAGAGATTCATTACTCTCATTTTAAAAGTTTTTAGCGCCGGGCGGCTGCCTGCCGCCCGCTCGGCGGCGCGGCGGGCCTTTTCACTTAACGCCCTGTAAGTGACGGAACGCGGGAAACAAAAACATTTTCAAATAAAATGTTATTAGCCCCGAGATCCCTTTAACCGAAAACAAAAAATAAAGAAGAGGAAGAACAAGAGGCGCAGAGCGGAGCTGGCGCTTCCGTCGGAACGCTGCGCAAAGCCAGGAGTGTTGGAGAAATAGAGGTAAGAATGGCTGATAATGGGGCAGGGGAAAGGAGCAGGGGATTAGGGGGTGGGGG